ACAAGATGGATGGGCACAGCGGCTGCAACAATGGGCTCAAACAGAACACATCGTGAGGTTGGCTCAGGACCCGCTATGACGCAGCCCCTGTGTCAACGGAAACTGATAACCACCACACACCTGAAGGTGGGCCCCTGGAGCCCACCCAGCAGTGCCGCGGAAAGAAGGCCTAGCGATCACAGCCCAGCGAACCTTATAGGGCAGTTTGGTTTTGCTCTGTAACACCGGGGAAGTCACGCAGTCAGATTCAAGGGGAGCGTGTTAGGTTTTGTGCTCCCGTGAAGCATAAACAGATTTAGATGAAGAAATGGCTTACATCGTTGGAGAACTGTTAAGTCCCGTCCTGGTCCATGTAGGCTTTCTCCTGACTCACCGGAGGTGGCTGATGAGTAGGAAGCAGGATGTGGAAGCAGAGATAGCAGGGGCCACAGGCTGGTGGATGCCTAGGTTCAAAGCCAGCGGAATGAATCCACCTTAGGCGATTCCGACAGCAGGTGAGGACCCAGATTGGGCTCCTTCTCAAGGTGAAGGGTCAAAGAGGATTCAACTCTGCTGGGTCTCATCAGGCTGTCACCTACTTGATAGGTTAGACTCCACCCCTACTATTTACTCAGGAGTGTCTAATTTGACATGATCCCTAACCATCACAGAGAAGAGCTAACCACAGCCCAAGGCTGAACTTAATTGGAGCCCACCCACAGTACCCAGGGAGAAAAGCCTGGTCACCTTTGAGAAACTGAGGACTGGTAAGAGAGTGTATATGGACAAATTCTCTATCATGATTGAGGAAGCCTGGGAGGCCAGGGTGCTGGGTGGAGGGAGGCCTTCACATTTGTAAGTTGGAGATGAGTCCCAATCACATCCTTATAACTAAGATTAACCCCCACTATATCCTCCCATCATCGTGCTGCCTTAAAGTAGCCACTTACAAGCACCTGGCTGATTGCTATAGGACCAGCAACTTTATCTGTAGGAGCAGACATGTGCTATTATTGCTCTCCCTGTTCAGGGGATAGCCACTCCCCCTTACCTGCCCCCAGCACTGGTGTTAGGCTACTCCTCCAATAAACTCATTGTGATCCTTACATAACCTCCTGTCAAATTGTGAAGGGGTGGAGTCTAGCCTGTCACAGCTTGATGACCTCATTTGGTGTGGGAGATTTCTCCCAAGTTGTCTCCCCCAAATATATGCCAAACCTAGCTGCTTGCTGCACATGGTAAATAACTATACACTTGGAGGTTGATGAAAGTAGGTTAGGGGTTATTCTCCCTAAGGACTATCAGCCATCTAGAGTAAGGTGACCAGATTTTAAC